ATTTACTTGAAGGGGTGTGCATAAGACTGACATGACACCTTCATAATCATGGCATGACACCTACATAATCATGACATGACACGTCATGCATATGAAGGTTTTTTATGCATATTTATGACAACTGTCATTAAGTGTCATTCGCTCAGTTATGTAATTTTTAATGCAAGGATGACATTGTTTGAGATGTCTTTGTTATGGGCTATGGTTATGGGTAAGGGTAGGGTTAGGGTTAGGTCAAATAATGTCATATTTGCATTAAAAATTACATAACTGAGCGAATGACACTTAATGACAGTTGTCATAAACATACATAAAACCTCCTTTATATTCATGACACGTGTCATGTCATGATTATGAAGGTGTCATGTCAGTCTTATGCACACCCCTTCAAGTAAAGTGTTACCAAATTTTCTTCACAATGGTGAACTGCCCACTGAAAAGTTCTTTGGCGAAACAAAGAAAATGGTTCTTCTATGGTAAAACTGCAAAAAAACACCTTTTAGAACCTTTATTTTTAAGAGTGTAGTCTCCTGTTATTCTGCATATCTCAGAAATCTGATTCAGTGAAGAGTGACATTAAACTAAGACACTATATCATGCATATTTTTCACTTTTTGAAACACCTATGTTAATGTTTAAACATTCCGTGTGAGATATATGATCACACGACAATTATTTGCATTATCTCTACAATAATTAAAATGAAACACGTAATAGCCATACTTTTTTTAATTGGTATATTTAAGGTGTACATAAGTCCATGTATTAATATTCTTCATTTGTATATATTGCCATTTTTTAAAGTGTGAAAATAACTTCATTGCATTTCGTCCAAATGCTGCTCTTGTTTTAAATCATATCATTTGATAATTAACTTTGTTTGCTAACTATTGAAAAAAGTAGTTTGACTGCAATTTAACTACTTTAATTGAAAGTGTAGCTTGTCAGGCTAATCATAATTGAAGCTTCCTCACACTGGTGATGAACGAGTCATCTGTGAAAGATCACCGACTTCTCAACAGCCCGATAACACAGAACTTTTCATTGGAATCTACAGTACGTAACTGCTCTGTGATTAATTCATATTAAATGTTTATTCAAATGGATGACAAAGGACTAGTGTAACTGCAAATTACCTAAATCAAGAGCATAATTTCCAGGCCACCGCCACAGAGAAGAAAAACACTGCGTTCTCTCTAGATATAAGACAGACAGCCGGTCTTTAAAATGTCAGGTGGTGAGCAGAGACGTTACAGTGTGTGAGTTTTCAGATGTGGCTTTCACATGAATGAAAATGTGCTCCCTTGACCTAAAGATCAGTTTGTTCTTCACGGCAAATAGCTTGAATCAGTGGCTCCAGGCCCACTGGCATCTGATGCTCCAGCACAGACCTGCATTCTGAAACTATCCCAGCAGATACATCCCTATCAGATACGCTCAGTTCCCTGCAAGGGTGAATGGGCCTTGAAAGTACGGGACATGTACAATCCCTTCTGAATGAGGGGACACAACAAACAACTGAAGAAAACCAAACAACACAAGCATTTCAAAGATGCAAGTATTTAAAAGCTCTTCAAATAGCTCTGATGGGCCACTTCAAACTGCACTACAGGCGGCAGGTAGCACTCTAAGAGCCAGATGAAGCTAGAGTCATGTGCGTTACATGTCTAAGAGTATGAATGAAATATGTGAATTTCACGAAAACTGTTCAGGACATATTCAACCAATTCAAAAAATTATTTTGCATTAAGAAGCAAATCTATTTTATTTAGACAATGACAATATTTTCAATATACTGTA